ATTTAGTTTGGGGATTTATTTACCGCCACAGATCACTCCCTCCCTAGTGGGGCACTGATGACCCTAAGACGTGGACAGCCAGAAGTTTAAACCCAACGAATTTGTCGTTGGTAAACACTCTTCTGATAGCTTACTAAAGTTAGCAGCGTCTGGTCGTCTTTCTTTACTATATGGGACCGGGGTACAACATAGTAAAAAAAGAAATGTACAATGAAAATTTTGGATCCTCATAAACGTCATCGTTCTTTTCGAGCCGTCCTGGAAAAGAAGAAAGAAAATGTAAGTGCATGTCGTAAATACACTCGTATGTGCGTAAAAAAGGGAAAATAAACTCATGAACACGTAATAGCGTTAAAAAATTGTTTTTTTTTGTTTTGTTTTGTTTTTTTTTGAAATAGAAATAAAAATATATAAGCCTATTAAAAAAATTTTATTTTTTAATAATATAAAAAATGTCGAGAAGTGCCTTACGTGCAATAGTCGTTTAAATGTTCTGGAAATCTCACTCTTCTTCCAGAACGCGTCGTTTTAAGTTTATTTTCGGATACTGTCGAAGTATCATCATGTGTGTTGGTTGTCGGATGAGGTATTATAAGTGTCGGAGTCGTGTCGTTCAATTGTACCGAAGGAAAATCCACGTAGATAGGATTTCCTTCTAAATACGCTGCTTTGAGGCGATCGATGCTGATGCTATCGTTGGTTCCGTTCTTATCGATTATATAGTACTTCGGTTCGCGTTGAAGAACTTTGAAAGGTCCTTCGTATGCTGATTCGAAAGGTCGTCGATGCGAGTCTCGACGAACGAAAACGTGTGTATTATATCGTAAGTCAGGTTGAACGAAAACATCAGTTGATTGAGGTCGAGTGGAAGCAGGTTTAACTGAACGCATTGCGTTTGTAAGCCTGTTCGTGTAGGAGGTTAGATCCATGTTCATTGAAGAGGATGAAGGATCCACGAATTCTCCTGGAAGTCGAAGTGTCGTTCCATAAACGAGTTGAGCCGCAGTGTATCCAATGTCAGCTTTCACTGCATTGCGGATACCTTGATAGGTACTGCTTCTGGCCATCGAGTGAAACGATCTACACAGGTTAAAAGGTAAGAGTATCCATTTGAATCTGGTAAAGGTCCTACCAAATCCAGATGAACATGGTCGAAACGAGCATCGGGAGTTTTAAATGAGCCTAAGGGACATTTATTGTGTCTGATGACCTTGGATTTTTGGCAGCTTACACAGGAGCGTGCCCACTCCCTCACGTTTTTATTCATACCAGGCCAGCAAAACCGTTCTGCTATGAGCTTGATGGTTGCACGAACACCTGGATGAGAAAGTTTGTGCAATGTGTTGAAGACATTGCGTCGATAATGTTTCGGGACGATTGGGCGATCCCTACCTGTAGATGTGTCACAAAGTAAGGTTTCCTTACCTGTTCCCATCTGTTTGATGCGTAGTTTAAGGGTTGTGGACGATAACTCTTGCTGAAGATCAGTGTCTTCTTTTTGAAGCTGGGCGAGTTTAAGAAGGTCGATTCCTTGGAAACTGTTCAAGGAATTTATTCGAGACAAGGCGTCTGCAACTACATTGTTTGCTCCAGAAATATGTTGAATATCTGAAGTAAACTGCGAAATGTAGTCCAGTTGTCGAGACTCACGGGGAGAGTACTTGTCAGAAGGAGAGCTTAACGAGAAAGTGAGCGGTTTATGGTCCGTGAAAAGAGTGAATTCACGGCCTTCGATATAGTGTTGAAAATGCCGTACAGCACAATACATAGCTAGGAGTTCCCTACCGAATGTGCTGTACCTCGATTCGGTGTCTAGCAACCGTCTAGAGAAAAATGCCAAGGGTTGCCAGGAGTTATTAACCCAGTGTTGTAAGACTCCTCCGATTGCCGAGTCGGATGCGTCTACTGCGATACTAATGAGTGCTTCAATGTCCTGATGTGCGAGCATTGTTGCTTTAGCGATCAGTTCCTTAACTGTGGAGAATGCTTTTCGTGCGGTGTCGTCCAAATTAATGGATTTCGCATTTCCACGAAGTTGGTCGGTAAGAGGTTTCATTAGTAATGCGCATTTCGGTATGAAGCGTCTATAGAAGCTTACCGGGCCGTTAAACGTGCGTAATTGCTTGATGGTGGTCGGTTCTGGGTAATCCAGAATGGCCGCCAGTTTGGTCCTAAGAGGTCGAATGCCTTGAGCATCGATAGTGTGTCCTAGGAAGTCTAACGAGTCGGTTCCGAATTGGCATTTCTGAACGTTTACAGTAATGCCATGTTTTTGTAATCGTTCGAAAACAAGATCCAGATGCTTGAGATGTGATTCTCTGTCCGGACTTGCGATTAGGCAGTCATCAACATACGCATGTACGAAGTTGAGACCTCGAAAGACGTCGTCAATGAATCTTTGGAATGTTTGCGCAGCGTTTCTTAGACCAAACAGCATTCGCAAAAATTCATAGAGTCCGAAAGGAGTTATGATAGCTGTTTTTGGTATGTCGTCAGGAGCCATGGGAATTTGTTTATACGCTTTAACCAAGTCGATTTTCGAAAAGACAGTTGTACCTTTCAAGGTAGCTGTCAAATCGTGAATGTGAGGCAACGGGTAACGATCAGGAATGGTTTTTGCATTCAATCGCCGATAGTCACCGGTTGGACGCCAATCGTTGCTGTCCTTTTTAGGGACCATGTGCAACGGAGATGCATAAGGGCTGTTTGATGGTCGTATGATTCCTAAATCTATCATGTGATCGAATTCGTTTCTCGCTAACCTTAGCTTTTCAGGAGCTAGTCGTCGTGCTTTAGAGAATACAGGTGGTCCTGTAGTCGTGATGTGATGTGTAACGTTGCTGGTTACACACGGTAGTTTCGGTTGGGTTTGTTGTATCCCAGGGTACTTATCGAGTAGTGGTTGATAGAGTGGGTCTATCATATGCTTAACTGTGACTGGGGATAATCTACAACCAGAAAAAGAAGTTACGCAAACGGATAGATTGGTGTTTCCATCTACTAGCCTCCGTTTGCGCGTGTCGATGATTAGATTATGATGTTGTAGAAGATCCATACCAGTGATTGGCATAGAAACATCTGCAACAACGAAAATCCAATGAATGGGTTTGCGTAAACCCACGTTAAGGTAGACGTACCTTTTGCCATACGTGGCGATCGGTTTACCATTTGCCTCCTGTAAGTTTAGAGTTGATTCGTGAAACCGGTCGTTATGATTTGCTGGGAGAACGCTAACTTCTGCGCCAGTGTCGACGAAGTAGCGAACTCTCGTTGTCACATCTGTGACGTACAACAGACGTCTATATTCGCCGGCTACGGTTGCCGTTAACGCGTGCCGGCTTGGAAGTTTTTCGAGTCAGTCGTTTTCGTGCTGGAAAAATTGCAGGGTTTTCTGCAATTTCTGGAAGACTTTCCACACTAGTTATGATACCATCAACAGTCGGGATTATCCGTCTCTCGTGGTCTAGAGACAGATCGTTTACGTGAAATGCTTCTACGTTGGCTGCGTGAGCGACTACGGTCGTTACGAAGATTAAGATAACGCGTGAGTGTATGACATAACTCGGTTATGTCATTCTGAGTCGTGTGAGGCTTTACTTTGACTGAAAATACCTCTGAAGTAGACGATTTCGTAATTTCTAAGATTCGATCGGCAGATGCAGCCAGCTCGTTTAAGGTGTTGTTCTGAAACGAGACCAGAACCTCATGCACCTGTTGAGGAAGTTTAGACAAGAAAAGTTGTTTAAATAGACTTTCGTCGAAAGTCCTTAGGCCTATCACTTCTCTCCTTCTTTGCAACATGTCAGTCGCAGAACCGTGTTGCAGGTCGATGTTATTGAAGAGTTGATCTAACCTTTGTCGATCGGTTAGGTCTCCTCGTTTAAGAATCGAACGTTTCAAGATTTCATAAGGATCGGAAACATCACTAGTAAACATACTAGGTGTTACGTACCTGTTGAATTCGCGCGGTAGTGCCTTGACTACTGCGAGGAATTGTGCACGTGTGTCGATCACGCCGTGCTTGGAGAAGTCGGATTCTGCGTAGCAGAACGGGGCTTCGATATTGTCGGGCCAGAAAGGCATGAGTTGAAACGAAGGCGGGGACAAAGTCTTAAGCTTGAGTACTTTGGGTGTTTGTTCAGCCATGATGAAATATGAAGTACGATAATGAATGAGGGGAAAATATATATATATCCAAGAAAAAAACGAGAAAAAATCACAATGTTTAAAAAATAAGGTAATGATATATGAAAATCCCAAAAAGGAACAGACTCACAGTTGCAATTAGGTGTACCAGATCACGACGGTCTCACCAATGAGGATGATACAGGTATTCAGTGTTTGACAACGCTTCTCCCAGTAACACCTTCTAATATGCTTTGTTCCCATCGAGAGAAATCAAAAGACAGAGTCGAGGAGATCGGAAGAGTGTATTTGGCGATAACCAATATATCGGGAATCTCTGATCTAATCTGGCTAGTGATTGCGGTTGATGTTGAGCACAGCGTTACAGCACGTGATCTGGTGCGGATGCATGACCGAACGCCTTCAGCTAGATGAGTCCACTAAAACATATGGTCAGCATCCAATGTCGAAAACCTACAGAGCTATTTAGTTTGGGGATTTATTTACCGCTACAGACGTTACCACACATGATGTGACTGAACCCAATTCAAATCTATATGTAGCACGTACTATTAGCGTTTACTTGCAAGCAGGAGCGATCTGAAACACAGCACAATAGTCAGGACCGGTAAATGCCACTGAAGTAGGAACACGGCGTACTGGCACAACAGAGATATATTTAAAATTGAAAGGCGCAGTTCGAGTACAAAAAGGGAAGCTTATTACAAAATGGGTTTATTCATTGTTCTGCAGGTTCAGACTGCACAAAGCTTGTTCCTCTTCTTCTAGTACGTTTACTTTCTGTTGCCCTGCTATGAGGAACACAAACTCACATTAGTAACGTCACATGTAATGATTTATAATACTGTTACATAAAAATGTCTTGATTTGACCGCTTCTGGAAAACTGCATAAATTGTCGATGTGACGCACAAATAATCTTGCGACAGTTTGACCTTCAAGTGCTCGCAACCCACGTCAGTGGACGATACCCTAGGAGCGTTGCATTAGATCGTTGCCCCACTAACCTTACGTCTAAATCGGCACTTCCTAAGTGTCTAACGTCCTGCCGTCTAAATAAACCTATTAACTCTGTAACTATACACATGTAGATGGGATCATTATGGATAAAAAATGTTTTTGGTGTGCATTTAAACGAGGAAGAGCTCCGGAACATTCCGCATTTAAAGATCGAACTGCTAACGCATATCGCTCTCAGAACAGTTCAAACTTCATGTCTTTTCGGAGCTATCGTATGTGCCCCGGTGATTACCTTGCTGTCAGGTTTGCTTCTGCTAGTTTAGAATTCATTTTCAGTTTTAGCACCTAGAACTTTAAGGTGTTTAACCAGAAGATCATTCAAATTCGCCACTTATGGATTCTTACCCGGAATCACCATAGCCCCAATACTGATGTATGCTCGAATGAAAGATCAACCGGTCGAGGCATTTTACGACAGGTGCTATCGGCTACGGTGCAACAAAAGCCAGGTACAGCTAGTATGCTAATATAGATCATGTCCTTCGAATAGCTAACTTTATTCGTCTAAATTCCACTATCGAGTAGTCATTCATTTCTATAAAGGTTCATGATCATGCCAATTCAGTAATTTTTGTTCGGTCAATTTAACCAAATTTACCCAATCTCCCTATTTTGGGGAAGTCGCAATAGAAAACTGGGGAATTGACACAAAAACTTCAAATTTACCCAAAGTTTCCCCAAAATAGGGAAATTGGGCATCCCAACATACTTAAATTAGTATACCGAATTCGTTTCAAGCAGTGCATTACCTTTAAAGCATTCAAAATAACTGACGAATATCGGACGTCGACTTTATCGCATTTCGCTGAGACTGGTCGAATGCTTCCAACCTGACCTATTTGTACAGAAGAAAAGAGTGGCAAATCTCTGTTGTAAGAGATAGTTGTAGCTCAATATTTTTATCTCCTTTGTAAGCCTATTTAAGCTCATACACTGATCCGACTTTGCGTCTCGCGATGTAATCACTTGCGGTGTCCATTATCATAATGTGCTCGCGTACTTTAATAATGACTAGTAACTATCCCCTACTTTTCAAGACTAGTGTTTTTGTTTCATTTCAAAATATAAAAGAAGCATATCGTTTTCAAACATCTAGTGCTATATTTTGGGGAAACTCTGGAAGAGGTGGAAACATTCACGTATCTGAGCAGCATCATAGATGAAGTTGGAGGATCTGATACCGACGTAAAGGCGAGATTCGGTAAATCAAGGACAGCATTCCTGCAGTTGAAGAACATATGGATTTCGAAACAACTGTCAACCAATATCAAAGTCAAGATCTTCAATACGGACGTCGACAGTTCTACTGTACAGAGCTGAAACCTGAAGAACTAACACAACCATCAAGAAGGTACAAGTATTTATAAACAGTTGTCTACGCAAGTTACTCAATATGTGTTGATCGGATACCATCAGTAAGAGACTAATATGAGAGAGAACAAACCAGCTTCCAGTTGAGGGAGAATTTAGGAAAAGACGCTGGAAGTGGATAGGACACATATTAAGGAAGTCATCAAACTGCATCACGAAGCAAGCACTAACTTGAACTCCTGAAGGGAAACGGAAAAGAGGGAGGCGAAAGAACATAATGCGCCGAGACATGAATAGGATGAATAACAACTGGAAAAGATTGTCCAGGACACAGTTGGGTGGAGAATGCTAGTAAGCGGGCTATGTTCCCCCATGCGGTGTAACAGGCGTAAGGAAACGCCATATTTGTCCTTTTTCTCTGATCCTAATTCAGTCCCATTCCGAACACCCATCTTAACTTCGCCTATCAAAGTATATCAGATTTTTTTTTATCGCATGACTCGGTGTTTCCTTAGGCTGTTTGGAGTTCATAAGTAGCCTCAACATAGGATGGATTAGTTCCATTCTACAAATCTCGTTCTTTATTTGTTCAGATTTATAGAGTGGACAAACTTTATAAGAAAATACTTGCTAAAATAGGGCAAAGTCTACAGTTTAGAGATATGATTCCTAACTTGTTAAGTGGACAGCAAATTGTTTATAGGTAAAATGCCATTGTAATTAACACTTCGAGTGAATGTTTTTTGTCGGGGTATCAGTGAGTAGGACTTAAATAACATTCGAAAATGAATTTTTGGTTTTACCAGGAAAGAACCGACTGTGTTTCTTGTATCCCTCACTTCAAGAACAGGGGTTGTCTTATAACATTTTCTGGGCATCCATATGAATAATAATGTATATAGTTTTATGATGTCCCAATGCACAATCTTTTGGTAGCACTAAGCAACAATGCCAGAATTTTTGGAATGTGCTTCTCTCCCTCTAAATGCAAGTTGTTGCTTCAGGACTGGCCTACGTCAACACCTGAACTAAGGATAGGGAGTAAAGTGGTCGAACGCGTTGACAACTTCACTTATCTTGGAAGTCTGATCAGCCCTAATGGGCTGGTACCGGACGAAATCTCAGCACGGATTCGAAAGGCTCGTTTGGCTTTCGCCAACTTACGACACCTTTGGCGAAGGCGAGATATCCGTCTGTTAATAAAAGGACGAGTATACTGCGCGGCAGTCCTTTCTGTCTTACTTTACGGCAGCGAAACATGGCCTTTAAGAGTAGAAGACACCCGTAAGCTACTAGTATTTGACCACAGATGCCTTAGAAATATTGCTGGCATCTGCTGGGATCACCGGGTAAGTAATGGTGGGGTTAAACGCAGGGTATTAGGTAATGATGGTAAATCAGTTGATGAGGTTGTGAATCTTCATCGACTAAGATGGTTGGGCCACGTGTTACGTATGCCTGAACACCGATTACCACGACGCGCAATGCTGACTAATGCTGGGGATGGTTGGAAGAAAGTTACGGGCTGCCAAACCAAAACGTGGCATCAGTGCTTGAAGTCATTATCTTCTAGTCTGAGTCGGTGTATACACTCCCTGTCTTCCCTTAAACTAAGAGATTAAAATCGCTTCATATCTTTCTTTCTACGAACTAATTCTGTATTCCGGTACTGTTTCCTTATATGCAATCTTTCTCCTATATATTACCACCTTTAACTTAACCACTCCTATGAATCCAGTGTTCATCTTGCTGTGCTAATGAGGTATGGCAACGTGGACCGATGCATATATGTGCCTGGTCCTACGTTGTAGCTGACTGACTGTCCCAATTGGTAGAAAATTGTATTAATGACGTCCCATGACCTTATGTAAGTCACTTCTTCAGGACAAATAATATGCATTAGGTCGCGAAATGTCATCAATATAATTTCCTACTAATTGGGATATCACAAAAATATACTTATTTCTAACTTTTAACCCAATGCTCAATTTATTTGGAACTATCAAGTCCAATCTTCACACTGATACCTACAAATTCATATAATTACTTAGCGGTTCGTCTAATTTCTTTGGTTTTATTATTTTTTTCAATGAAGCTTCGTGTAGATCGTTTCTCCTATATCGGTTTGGGATGCGGCGGGATAGCAGGTTTCGCCAACGCAGCTGGGCCAATACAAACAGCAATAATAGGAATGATGATTGGGACTGTAGCAGCTGTTTGCTGTAATAAAATTGAGAATAGCATTTCTACACAGAAATAGATATTAGATTTTTCGCTAAACTTCTGTTCATTTATTTCCGTAATATCTTTTCCAATAATTAACTAATTTGTGGTAGAAGAATGTTTTTACTATTTGTTATTTAGCGATGGGAAAGTCCTAAATATGTTACCTTCTTTAGTGAAGTGTATATTACAAAACTATATTGACAATCTAGTACTGCATCATTTATTAGTGTCGATAGTTGAATAGTTCGTAGATCTAAATGACTTTAACTGTGGTAATAGGGATGATAGTTCTCACCTTTCTTCGTATACTGAGGCCTGTATCATCTCAGTCTGTGCTACATTTCGGGCCGTTAATGTGAGTATAATTATACTTTTAAAGTTGATAATCCGGTATCACGATTATGAATTTGTCCCGGATAATTGATATGAATACGATTCACTCTTCAATACAATTACTTTCCAATCCTTCGTATTTCAGACACTTTCGAGTCAGGCTGTGTAAAATCAGGAATTGGTTATGAATGTTTAGGGTATACTGCACTTCAAACACTAAAGATTGATAGGGTAAACAGACCCACATAGCCTACCATTAGAAGCATGAAGTATGTATATTTCTGAGTCCATAAATATTTTGTTATGTACTACAGGCATGCAAATTAGTTTCACCGAAAGGCATATGATTTATTTGACAAAATATAAGCACCAAACGAACAATTCACGTCTAATGTGACATTAGTTTTAGATATGGCCAACCAGCATGGGAGCTCTTGTTATTCTTATAAAGCAATTACTTTACTACTAATAGGTGTACATCGTTCCCTAATCTAAGAAACTCAATTTTGACTTCATCTGAACTATAATATAGTTCAAAAAACCATCTTGCTTACCACAAAAGCCATTCCATCAATTTTGTAATCCTTGAACCACCCAGCCGCAGACTTTTGCAATTGAACTTGATTGAATATATCAGAGTTGTGGCTTGAAAATTGTATTTCCATAGTACCAAGTTGATTTATACTAAATACTCTCGTGAAACTACTTCTCATAATTTAATAATCCACTTTCATACCTTGATGTTCTAAGCAAGATTATGATCGTCTGAGCTGAATTAAAATCAAACATTTCCGTATCAGTAAATCAACAACCATACTCATAAAATAAGAATTTATATTATAAATAGCATATTATGTTCGATCTGTTCACCAATTGGCAGATAGCAATAAATATTCAAAATTATCTGTCAAGCATTTACCAAAAGTTGATCATAAAAGGAAAATAAAGCAAAGTGGGTCCCGTTCAAAAATAACTGTAAAGTGGAAAATAATTGAGGAAATATTTTCATATTCGCCTTCGCTTCTATTTGTATTAAAAGGAAAATTGTTTCCAAAAATCAATTTTTACAAGTAAGAGAGATGCATCTTATCAAAAAGAATACCATTTCTATAAGAAAAGTCAAAAGAAATATTTCAACTTCGTTGGAAAGACTTTGATGTTCCAAATGTCCATGATTCAATACTTGGCAAGCCGTTAGGGTGCGTGAAGTTATCTGTACGTAAGACTGAGTCTTCAGGCGATAGTTTTGTTTGTGAGCAGTTATTAATACTTGCAGACTGTAAAATTAATGGGGAGTTTTCAGTTGGTAGATTCGAAGAGTGTATAGTTTGTAAGAAGTCGTTATTACTATCACAAGAAAATAAAGTGATCTGTTCAAGTTCGTCAAGAGAAGTTCCTGACTTGCATGTTTCAATATCATTAAAACTGAGTGCTGTATCGACATTTTCGTCTTCATACTTTGACTTTAGGTTCTCCACGAATAGGGACGTATTTGTATGACGACTGGATAACACACCGAGAAATTTCTCATCAATACCATATAAATCAGTAGTAGCAGACTTATTTTCCTCACTAATATCTTGTTTAGAATTTAACACCTGACTGTCCTTTCTAACATATTTTGTACTTAGTCTTTCTCTTGGATAACTTATATTATGATTACAGGTGCTCGGAAAGTTGTTATATTGAGATTCAATATTTCCTAGTTTGATTTCCGACAAAGGATTAGAATTTACTTTATCATGATTAAATCCAATTTTAGAGGAAGTCGGAGGTAAGTATGATGTAGTGCTGTCAGTCGTTTGTGTAATGAATGGCTGAAAACTTAAATTATTCATATTAGTATCCAGCAGCATGCCATTTAGCATTGAGGAATTTGTTTTAATTGGGATTACTGTAGACTGCCTAATAAAAGTCGCTTTGGGAGGTTCACACAGGAAAGTACGATATATCATTGGTTGTTCATTTACAAGTTGTTGAACAGTTGGTGACTGTATATTCAAAATTCGAATTTCCTTGATTTGATTTCCCTGGTTTAGTGACGATGGTGATATCAGGGATTCAGTTATTCCGTCAATAGTTTGACATGGTATGATTTTATGCAATTGATAAGTTACATGTTCGATGTCCCCACTATCAGTAACTAATAATGCCATTGTTTCGTCGACTTCTTTATTTTCCTTAGAAATATAGTTGTCATTTATGGCAGGGGATATGAACACTCTTTTGTCATATGGATTGCTAACACGTGTCGCATGGGAAAAATTATAATCTACTTTTACTGGTTGGGATAATTCCATGTTCAATTTATTATTTACCTGTGGATTTGGTTGTAAGTAATTTCTGCAGCAATTGATAGAGTTAACAACAGATGTTCGGTTTTGTTCAATTATCATTGGCGTTTGGCTTTGAGCATGATTTTCATCAATATTTTGATTGTTCAAGCGAGTGGAAAAATTTTGATCAACGGGAAATGCAACATTCTCACAGTTCATTTTAGAATTATTGTTGTTATTAGGCGTAATCGATTTCGATGTAATTTGTACGACAATTTCTGACTTGGGAATACATTCATCAGCTTCAATTTTGTTGTCATCGCTATTTACATTACGTGCACGTTTTTTAGGTTTATACTTATAGTCAGGAAATTCTATGGCATGTAACTGTTGCAAGCGAAAAGCTTCATCTATGTATTTACCACGCATTTTCAAATCTAGTTTTTTCCATAGTTGTCCCACTCGTTGACTTATGTGTACATTAGGTGCATCGGGGAACCAGTGCAGTATGATTCTTCGAAGGTATTGGGCGAAGATCTGTAATGATTCACGAAAAAGGAAAATATTCGTAAAAATTCGCGAGTGAAATTTCGAAAAGATATACATAATGAGATACACCAGTAACCGTTACTGATGTTTAAACGATCTACAATAAGTTCACTTTCACATCGTTTATTCAACTAATAATTTGAAATTGACACTAATAAGAAAATAGCTGAACGTAGTTCTCTCATAACCGGATAAAATCACAAACATAATTTTCAAATGATTTATATACCTCGTACAGATAACAATCTTTCTTTTATATTGATCTCTACCTAAACGCTTGAAAATGTATCAGAAAATATCGAAATTAAAATAACTTTTATCATCTACGGTACCAATATTATGTACTGTGACCTATCAATATACAAAGGTAACGTTGATATATACCATTTAGCTCAATAGATGGCAAAATAATGATTAGATATAGACTTCATTAATAAAAGTGGACGTAGAGAGATAAACACAAGACATCTCACAAAACACACTGAAAGATTATGATTCATATAGTAGAAAAATAATCAAAAAATCTACAATACTATTAATTATGATAAAACGTTCATATGTTAATTATTACGCTGTAAATAAAACTTACAAGTGAGAAATTTAATAAGTATAAAACAATGTATTAATTTATGTACATTTCAAAGCAAATAACATTAGCTAAGAAGCCAAACATAACAGGAATATGATACGAAGTACAACTTCAGAGAATTGTTACTATCATCAAATTTATTTAAATGAAATAACAAATGAAAGGCCTACTATAAACCTATAAATTCTATGCTACAACACTACAGGCAATAATAAAGAATCGACACGAGAAAACAAATAACAGCGATTGTGACAACTAATATCAGCCAACTATAATGGGGAAAAAAATAACGCAGTTTTTACAAATGACAATTACAAAACAAATGTACTATTACAGGAGTGGAAAAAACTTAATCTGCACATGTATCACAGTAACAGGTTCGGGCAAACAAGACTCAAGTAACATAAACATTATCAACAATGAAATAATCTTTTAGCCTGACTCCTATGCTAAATACCGTATATAATTGACTCGAGATACTAGTATTTGATATACAGAAGTGATTAAATCGATCACCGAAGATGAATGAATATACTAAATATTCCCTTTCATTATTATTTATGCTACCTTTAAATATGTGAAATCCTGAAAATAAATTTTTCTATTGGGAGTTAGGGGAATCGAAACTGAGATAAATAATCCTGATATAGAATAATAGCATGACTTTCTGGCCATTACCCGTCAAGCTGGAATTTCGCTCCATATCATTTAATATAGGCAGTCAATAAGTATGACTAGCCCTTGAAATACTATATGACTAAAAGCTGAGTACATGAAACTACTTGATTGCAATGTTATTTAAATCGTATTTGCTTAAGAATCAATAAAGGAATAAAGTAAATAAATATGGTTGAAATATAAAGACCACCAGGAAAATTGTTTGACAACAAAGGCCTACCATAAAACTATTTAGCGGTCGAGGAATCGCAGATGCTTTACGTTTTTTGTTAGAGCCAACAACTGCGGTATAAGGATATTTTTTTTCTTTTTCACTAAGACGATCAGCACGTGAACTTGGCCAATGAACTGGTATAGGATGTAATTCACCTAAATGATCCATCCAAGAATCTAATGATTGAGATCGTAAATCAGAACATTGATCACACATTGTGAAGTCAAAAATCCCATTCGAAAATATGTTTGGACTGGGTACAATGGATGATGAGTCCGATAAAATGCATTCATTGTCAGTCGATTTGTGTAGACGAACAGAACAAACATCATATGAGTTATTACCCAAGGAATGAGTTCTAAGTTTTCCGCAAGGGCTACTTGACTGGGATCGTGTTGGACGTTTATGGATTATTACTGACTTTATGGGTGAAGCTGACGCAGAACAGCTCATGTGCAAACGTTTGGCACTTGGAGTTAGTCCACTTGTACGATTTGAATATTTCTTTTCTTTTGCCATCATAGAAGTTGGGTGTGGATCAGTGGTACATGAAGACTGGTTCTTCAGCTTTTTTGTTCGTTTATATTTACCTCTAGTTGATGCAGTTGGTGATAAAGAGAGGAAGTTATGAACACTTGGTGAAACATTAAAATCCAACTTTTCAGATTTTTCTACTGTCAAAGAGATGTCTTGCGTTCTTCCAAACTTCAGTAAAGCCATAACATAATTCAAATAATAGGTGATTCAGTTGAATGAGATATTGCACAGTACTAAATTAATGATTCCAAAAGGGAAAATGAAGAACGTGACTATGTGCAAATAAGGTTTATCGGTCCCATCATGTTTACCCTATACTCTATTAGGTCTAAGCCATAAACTTTTATTCAAATGTGAACGGCATATACATGGCCTGGGGGTGAGAAAATTTATAGCAGTCCTTTTCAGGGTCAATTCATTTATTCAGCCCATTGGGTCTTGAACCATGTTAAAACGTGTTTGGGTGAGAGAGATGAGAGTAAACCCCACTCTTCGCCCCCCACCCACCTCATCACCTGACATGAGAAAATCGATTTTAAGTTTACATGTTATGAGACGCATCACCCTCCTCCCCCTCCCAATCTAACCACCTGGATTTCAACCACTCACAGAGGTGAATGGAATAACCTTCGTGTTTATTTTCCTCCTATCCAATAATGAATAATTCATCATTTAGAATTAGTGAATTCAGTTACTTTTTTCAAAGGTTGGGCCATTTTCACATCAGACTTGAACAACTGAATCATGTCATTTCAGATGACTCGAATATTCATTTCAGCAGACAATAGATTCAGAATAGAATATTAGTCATCCCATGAGACACATTAGAAACACTCGACGTGATTTTTCCATACAGGACCTTGGTAATACTAATTGTAAACAAATCTCATAACCCTAATACCACCTGCATTTCATTGGTCATAAATAATACTTAGAGAATATAACATTTTTTCAATGGCTTTACCAAAAATAAGTTTTGCCAGAAAGAATCTAATTTGTATATCATTGCTAGAATACGGGAATTTCTATGACGTTTTCTCAAGCTTATGTAGGTCTAAATTAGTGTTGAACGCTGGTCTATTATATCTGGAGGCTAGAATTTGATAAATCACGATCTGTATATAAATATCCTAACTAGAGAATGGACTTCGTACAACAAACTGTGATAACCTCATTGAAATCCTGAACTAATCAGTGAAAAGCCGAAAGCAGTGGACAGTCGTTTCGTTCTGGTAAATACTACTCTGAAGTGCATATCCACGATCTTGTGCGCAAACAATTAACCACTAGACCACTGAACTGGGTCCAACGATGTCAATATTTAGCCTCAGTCAATCCACAATATTCCATAAATCTGGACACTTCATCATAATTGTGATTGTGTGTGGGCTGTGATACTGCCCCGGGTGCCCAAACCGAAGCGGATGGTTTTCTTAGGGGCCACACCCCGAGCCTTTAACCTAAAGGTCTGATCAACAAGGAAGTAGAGCATCGTGAGGAGATGCAGTCCCATGGTAGCCACTGACCAATAATTGGTTCATACGCCATTTGTTCCTTCAGGATACTCTAGCCCATGTGCAGCATTGGTTTGAAATCCGGTTAAAGCTCCGGACATTCGCTTTTCGTCCTCTCACTTTCGTAAACAACATTCCTACCACGAGAAGGCAGTGGGTAGGACTTCCCTGGCAGAGGCTGTATACACGTAACCGTGTGAGAGAATTTCGAGAGGGAGGGCGAGCCCACCCCACTCTCGACCATACCAGGGCATTTGTCTGCTTCCGATTGCGTCCAAGCTATCGGCTTCCGTCATACTTCGTACGTTGTTCAAAACCCGAGAAAGATTGACTCACGAGGAGCAGGCTGGTTTTCGTTCTGGTCGAGGATGTATTGATCATATCTTCACCCTCCGCCAAATGTTAGAACACTGTCATACTTATCAAAGGCCAACAATCGTAATGTTTCTGGACATCAGGACTGCCTTCGATTCCTTGAACGGGACTGTTCTCTGGGATTGTCTATCGAAGAAGGGTGTGCCTGAGAAGTTTATTATCATCTTAAAGGCCCTATATGCAAACACCTCAGGCAGAGTGAGAGCATACGACCACCTCTCTCCATCGTTCCATTCAAGCAGTGGGGTTAGGCAGGGTTGCCCAATCTCATCAATCCTCTTCAACTTTGCCATCGATGACACTCTTGAAACAGCTCTGATGGATGTAAGTAATGGCGGTGTAGATCTGCTTCCTGGAGAAAGACTTCTCGACCTTGAGTATGCAGATGATATTGTCTTAATGTGCGATAATGACTAAGCTATACAATCCACACTTAATCAGTTGGCAATCAATGTCCGTAAGTACGGTATATGCTTTGCACCTTCGTAGTGCAAAGTTCTACAAGTCTAGCAGGATTCTAATCCTGTACTCACCCTGGATGGTGAGCAGATAGACGTAGTCGAGAAGTTCGTGTATCTAGGTAGATGCATAAGTGCTGGTGGGGAGTGTGAGTGTTGAGATCAGCTTCTTTCTGCGTAAATAAGTCTGATTATTAACTTCTCATTTTCATTTAACAGTATCATAGACGTGCGTTTAGGGACAACTCATTCATCGTCCGACATTTCAGGGTTCGAACTTGTAGGTTTCTTCTCAGCTCCTCACATTCAGATAGATATTCCTGTCGCTTAACATTTACGTACCATCTCACACGATGACCGGAATCAGTGCCTTTCAAGGATATTACTGGTGAAAAAGTGACCCACCCCTTCATCAAACGATGGGTCCCAAGCTTAAACTGTCTTTCAGTTATCACGAAAGATCGTGCGTACTAGTTCGATTTTGGACTCTTCTACACTCTAACTTGTTCACGACACAAACCTTCACCTTCCTGGAGAGTTCGTTGGTGCTGCATCTCCTTCAGTGAATATGAATTACAATCTCTACATAGGCCAGTTTGTAAACACCGTATATTCAGTTAAGCCACAATCAACCGATATCTTCATCCAACCTGCCTTGCGGCATAGTACAAACGTCTTTGTACTTTGCATTGAAAATTCCTTGCAATAGTTCATCTGATCCTCCTGCCTTTTCTTATTAATATTTCATTAACTTTGATTAGGAGACTAATAATAGTTCTTTTACAGTAGTTAAATATTTAAATTTTTCCATCTCTTATTTTCCATGTCCTATACTTGGTTGGAAGAATGTTAGGGGCGGCCAAACCAGTGCTTGAAATCACTAACTTCTAGTATGAGACGTGTCGGGAGATGCAGAATACTTGGTTGGGGTCCGCGTGACTATCGTAACCAATGGTTGGAGACTCTTGGTGACATGGCTCAGAATCGGTCACAATGGCGTCGGTGAATACACTCCCTGTCTTCCCTTAAACTAAGAGATTAAAATCACTTCATATCTTTCTTTCTACGAACTAATTCTGTATTCCGGTACTGTTTCCTTATATGCAATCTTTCTCCTATAAATTACCACCTTTAACCTAACCACTCCTATGAGTCCGGTGTTCATCTTGCTGTGCTAATGAGGTATGGCAACTTGGACCGATGCGTATATGTGCCTGGTCCTACGTTGTAGCTGATTGAATGACTGACATGTCCTATAGTAATTGACATTTGTAACGGACAGATCGAAAACTAATCTAATTGAAATATTGTCTAGTCGATGCATCTTTACTTTTTATGATTTTAAACAACATAGTTTATGCTTTGTGGTAAAAAATTATGTTAATTATAACTGAAGGTCGAGTGTTTGTTTATGTTTTCCTACCATTTGAATTATCATTACTTCTCATGGAAAGCACAAGTTATTGAATTATTACTTCATAGAATGTAATTTTATTTAGGTTAGTCTTCTCAGTCAAATTTCTTCACTGAAAATGATGACTTTTCTAAATGTTACTATGAGATTCTACATGATTTATATTACATCGTCTACGCTACGAGCAATAAATTAACTTCACTATCATATTTGTTCACACGATAAACAGGGTATTCAAATTCATACCTTACAAATTTACAATAGTAAAAACATAAGGACTGACGAATAATTATGACTACTGTTCATTATTCTGATTTATAACTTATGAAAGTACAATACTGGACCACAAAGTAGAAGTTTTCAAGGGGACATAACCAGGAAAATTTTGTTACAAAGATAAATACTGAACCAAAGGATGGCCTACAATTTAGGCCACATGAAAATACAACGAAACAATAGTTTAATAAATACCCACTGGAAACATGCAGATTAATTCACTAGAGAATAAGTACCTGAGTCTCAGACTCCTTTATCAATGTCTACTTAACAAATGAATAAGCTGAGCTGCAGTCAATAACTAATATATTTACTAAATAAATAATATACTTGTAATATCTCAATGAGTGGAAAAATTATATTTTCTGACGTTTCGTAACTTAATGTAAGCCACTTCTTCAGGGAATAAATAACCAAATCAAATTCTGGTCAGAATATCTAATTTTTCTACTCATTGGGATATTACAAATATATTATTTATTTATTTATAACAATCTATCCATTGCTCAATTTATTTAAAATTATCAAGTCAGACCTTGGTAATGATACCTATAAAACATTTACTGTTCAGTTAAATATTTTATGTTGTATTTTAATCTGTTACAACAATAGAAAACAATTTCATTCTACCTACTACAAACTGGACTTATTAATTATACTTTGTCACAGTTCTAGACTAATTAGGGTTAGCAGTAATCAATTAAACTATTTCAAATTCTCACGAATCTATAATCACTGCTGAGACTAAGGCTTTATCTTGAGTATTAAGAGTAGATAGGTGCTTTTAAGTCATGAAGAAAGCAATAGTAATTAGTGTTATTGATATAATACTCGTTGCTAAACTAGATTGTCATAGTTTTTATTACAATTGATCATTATTATTGTAGTGAAAACAACAATGGTCAATTATGACCTTTTACATCTTGATTTATTATGATCATTGTAATGTACCAACATCGCGTCATAAGCATTCATTTTCACTGTTTGTTTTGTTTTGCGTAATGCCATTCATACGGTAAGGTTTACACACATTTTACTGTGTTTTCTTGAAACATAAGTGTTCACTTGAAAATCCCGTCTTCTCTATCTCCTTATTTATATCTGGTTGTCTTCATTGAAGTGTTATTGCTTATAAGCTATACACTTTATCTAATCTGTCTTGATTCCATCTTCATACTAGAAGAGTTTCTCAATTCATACTTATTTTTGACTTAAACGACAATTTATAGTTCATCATAGCTTCAATCCTACTGAATAAAATAAATATCC